CTCTAGATTATTTCATTATTTTCGCCTAATTTTACATTACCGAAAAATGGTTGGAACACTAGAAAACCGATCCTTCATTTCCGAGATGAAAGAAGAAAGCGAATGAAGATTTGGAAAAGGTTTGCACTCGTTCCCCATTTTTGCCAAACTCCAAACAGTTGGAAAATTATTGGGACAATGAATAACCGACCGTCCATTCCATTATAAAAGAGGAAAAGCCAAAGAAAATTAGGAATATTTGTACCACTACAGTTTCCATTGGCCTACCTCTTAAAAGTTGGGAAATGATTAGAACAGTGAAAATCCGAGCATTCATTTCCGAAATAAAAGAGGAAAAGCGAATGAAAATTCGGAAAATTCTCTACAGTATTTCCTTATCTTTGCCAACTTTTTGTGGTCGAAAATGGTTGGACCACTAGAAAATCAATGATAAAAATCCTATCAGCTATTCACAAGATAAAAGAGAAAAATCTAATGAAAATTTAGAAAATTATCTACACTATTTTCTTATTTTCGTCTACTTCTACATTGCCGAAAAATTGTTTTAACAGTGAAAAACAAAGTCTTCATTCCCGATATTAAAAAGTATTAATATACATATATATTGTAGCTAAAATCGCATAAGACGCACAGTTCGTCGAGTGCAACTCTCGATTTTTCTCGCTCGAATTTTCTAGCCTCGTTGGGGAGGCACTTGACGCACATGACGAGTAAGTTAAGCTTGACGCACAGTTCTCCTCGAGTTTTCTCGCCTCGTGAGCGGAGGGCCTATGACTATATTCACACTATATGTACAAACAATTAAAAATAAACAGAAGCAAAATAACAACTAAATAATAATCAAGAAGCGATCAAACAAATAAAAATAAAATTTATTACTTAAATAAATAAACTTAAAGATAGGTAAATTTAAAAAAAAAGTACAGACATGCCTATATACATTAGTACCTTTATACACTAATAACAATATAAATACTTTATCTATTCAAATTATGTGACCGTTTTCCAATCATATACCTCCTGTATGAATTGTCCATCTTAAGGCTGTCGAATTTCTTCATAGTACTGTCCTTTGAGTTTTGAACTGAGGAATCCTACTACTTAATTTAGAACCTGGTTCAGGGAATTTGGTATTGAAATTTTCCCTTCAAGATAATGAGCAATCGACCAAAACAGACAGAAGTCGGTAGGAGTTATGAAAGTTAATTAAGGTGCATGAAGGAGGAATTCAATCTATTGTCTAAACATTATTGCTTGATCTTCGAACTTTTCCATACCCAATTCTCTTCAAAAGGTTCAATATATTTATTTCGGAGATGGCTATCAAAGTTTTTAAATGATGTTGAAAAATGTTATTAACCTAATATATTATTTTACCTCTGTCGAATCATAAATTTAATATCTTTTTATTCAATTAAACTTTGATCTATAAAGGATAAGAGCCTGCTGCCATGTAGTAGTAATAAGATAATAATGTAGAGGTAATAGATAATAATAATAATAATTTATTAATAATAATGCAGATAATAATATAGTAATAATAAGATAATGAAATAAAATAAAAGGAAAACATGTAAGTAAAAATATTTACATTACAATAAAAAACTCGCAAAATGAAAAAAAAATGTGGTGTGTCCACTCACACGACTTTCCTACCTATTTCAGAAAAGTTTTATATCTTTACATATGTCCATCAAGAAACAAAAAAAAAAAAAAAAAAAGAATAAGATTTATTTTCCTGAAAATTGATCAAAGAAAAGATTTGAGTACGATTTATTCGATAAACCAAAGCAATGTAAAGTATTAGACATTTTACCATATAACATATCCTTAGCGAGTTAGGCCCCAAAACATTTTTCTTTTCTTTATAACTTTTTTTCCTGAATTTTCTCGTCCATATACATATGAAAATTGAAAGGACAATTATTAGAACATTATAGGAAAGTTTCATTAAAATCTATGACCAAAAAAAGGATAAAATAAAAATATAATAAAATAATTTTTAATAAATATAATTTTCCATAGGAATTTTTATTTGTTAAGCGCCTGGCTTTAAGAGCCTTTCATCTCTAAAGAGATAATTATAGAGAATGTAAGTTACTTACCCATGATTTGGCCATGATAAATCATTTATTCTACCATGCTAGCTCAGGTGAGAAGGGGTTAGGTTGGATAATTTTTTATAAAGCAGCAAAAAAGGTTAACAGATCTATTTACAGAAAGAAATATTTACAGAATTAATACTATGTACAATAAAAAGAAATAAAATACAAAGAAAAAGAGGGAATACAAACATAATTACTATATACAATTAAAGATAAAAAGGAATATATTCAAGATAATAAAGATAATACAAATAACAAAAAAAAGATACTTATTTTATATACAATATTATGGCATGCCACATCCAAACATCTAGAAGAGATAATCAAGATACAATAAGATGTAAGAGTACATGCACATGCTAAAATATCAATTAGTCAGCTGCCTCTGGAAACAAAAGAGAGTAGAGTTTTTTTTTTTTTTCCAGTGCTTTCTTAATCTTGGTTACAAATCGTTACAGCCGTTTTTGCGCTACAGTATAGAAAAACATGTTTATCATTTATTGTGCAGCAGCTATTGAGCATGGATCATCCCATTTGTGACTCAGTCAGTAGTCAAAACCCTACAAAATAAAAAAAGAAGCAACAAAATCGGTTCAGTAGTTCTCGAGAAAATCTTGGCACAGACAGACAGACCAATGGCTAAAAATGTTTTTTTCGAAATCAAGGGACTAATAAATCCGTCAAAAACCGCATATTGGAAATTTGACCCGATTGCTATATTTTCCTTACCTACTATAGGTAGGGAAGTAAAACGTACCTTGAAAGAATAGTAAAGAAAAAAAAAATATATATATATATATATACATACTTGTCACACATTCATTCCTAGGTACAATATTTACATTCAGGCTAGACAACTCTGAACCATGCTTTACCGCCCTCATGTGAAAGGCAAATCAGGGCTCAAAGAGACCCCAGAGTATCTCGCTACATCATGGTTTAAAAGCTGTTTCAACCTTCGTGGAGGATTATATGGATAGTTCGAGCTGAAAAGGATTGTGTTAAATGATTGGGATGATGGGTAAGTTTTTTATTGAAGCATGATAATTTGGATAGAATTGCGTCGAGAACAAAGTAGATTTTGAGATCATGATGTAAGGTTTTGTTTGTGACGGTGTACGGAGCATTGGACTTTGGATTGAGAGAATTGGATACTTTTAATGTTCGAAGATTTAGCTGTCCTCCACCTGATTCAATTCAAGAATTCACCTGATATTGTAATCAATCTGAACGGAAACGAAGGTATGACATACGAAGTAAAAAAACCGACACACCGCTAAAATATTTTTTTTTAGCTGAGTCACCACGTATGATAGAAGCTCTCTGATGTCGCATTGAACCGGCTGTTTGATAAAAACTACACACACGGTTCTTATAATAAAGCCGCCTTAGAACCAATATTGGAGACGAAATCCCACAAGTCCTTTGAGCGGTGAGGCCGGTACTTGCTGCATTGATGGGCTTATTGCACTCGTACAAAAGGTACTCGAAGCTCCCTTTGAAATCATCTTGCTTTATTTGATCTTTTGAGGAGCGGTTCATTAGGCGAAATGATTCTAACAGGTGAAGCCACCACATCAAAGCCGGCCACCTTTAACTCGTTTGGCTTCTTTATTGCTCATGGCCTCTGGGGGACTTTATCAATAGTGAAAATTTAATTGAATTAAGGCTACTTTAGTCTAGAACAGAGTCGGTTCAACAAACAGGATAATTGTTTGAATTTCGGTTATCTAATTTTATTACCTCACTCATAATTTCAGTAGTTTTTAGATCCCTTTAATTTCTGCTATATTTCCGTTTCTGAAATCATTGAAATTTTGAAACACTGTTCATGACAGCTTGTTGGCGTTGTTTTTTATTCCTTGCTATTGATTAACGCCATATATACTTAAAATTAAATGATATTTCATTAGTAGAAAAAGGCCTTTTTAGTCTCGATAAAAAATAACTTTATTTTAAATTTATCCAAATTTTTGCCTCTTCAGGCATCTTCAGGGATAATATGATTTTACATGTAATTCAAATTCTCATTCGCTTTATGGCAGTGCACACACTTGCACACTTAATCTAAGAACAAAACCGAGACTAAGAAGGCCTTTTTCTACTAATATGTATCTTTCCCAAGATCATCGTTTATATTTCATTGTAAAACTAACAACTACTTATCGAAAGAATCAATACAATGAATTAATCGAAATTCCTCAAAGGTCCTCCCAGAAGATTTTAATAAAACGCATTTTAATGAGCTAGATTGTAGAAATCGATGGTTAAGAAGTGACACATCGAATTGGTAAAAATACAGATTTCATGTTTTTAGCATATTATCATAAAACTAACTGCCATTAACTTAATTTTGATAACATTTTTAGAACAAAGTTACAATCCTGGTTGAAATTAAAATGAGCGGCTACCTCTACAAAAAACCGACAGCATTATTTTAAGAACAAATAAACAGTTTTTTAGAATATAGCAAAATATATGATTATGGTATGTAACATATGGTATAAAGATGAATGTGACAATTTTAATTATAACCCGGAGGTTAACAACCACACGTCCATTTTCCTATTTGTTCAAGGTTGCCAGTTTTCCATAACTCAGTGATATTAAAATTTGTTTCTATGTTACTAAATCTGCACTCCGGAGATAAAGAACAATATATCACATTTTCCTATTTATTCAGCAAGCCAATTTTCCATAACTTTGAGGTATTAAAATCTGTTTCATCCTAACTAAATTATTTAATGAAAAAATGGACGTAGTGTCACTTACCTCCGGTGCACAGGCGTAATAAAAAATAAAATCATGTTATATTTATAGCTAATATAAATAAGGTTTTATAGGAATATTTTTATTTATATGTTATGGTATACAATTACCATTTTACCATTACAGGAAAAAATGACCCTGGAGAGAGGCCAGGAGACAAACCCAGTGACAAATGGAGCATTAAAATTAAAATAATTGTATAAGAAACGAACGACGTACCATCATTAAAAAAAAAAAAAAAAAGATAAAGAAGAAAATCAATCATACTATAAATAACATTATTGACTTTTCTTCAGTAGCTGTAAGATGAAATTGTTAGTTAAAAAAATATATGAATCGGTCGTGCTTAATAGCCAATTAATCGCCTCATTTCAAACTAAATGTAATTATGAAATAAGCATTGAAATATAATTAAAAAGTTTCTATGAGCAATTATGTAAAAATTAAAAAAAAAAAAAAGGATGCTATTCTTCCATCAAAAACAAAAAATATCTATTCATTGTTTCATCAATTTTCTTTGGATATTTCGGCTTAGAATAAATATTAATCTCAAATATAACATAAACTTATCATAATCTCAAAATAGTATATTGTTTACACAAATATACACAAAATGTGTACATCGAATAATATTTTTTTATTACATTATATATTTTTAAATATGGACGTTGTCCAGCAAAAAGAACAAATATAATAATTCACTACTTTACCGAAGAGCACATTTGGCACGGCTTTTTTTTTCCTTTATCTGTAGAGGATGCTAAAACATAAATGTTATATATTCGCTGTTTTAACGCATAGGTAATTACTATTTATCTCAGGAACACAAAAATCTGAAAATACCTAGTTCGTTGAACCCGCCTTGAACTCCAATGATATTTTTCCAATCAAACACAATTTTGGTGTGCGGGGTGGCCAAATGGGCTAATGCGTTGTGCACCGCACCACCGTTGCCCGGCAACCTGATATATGATAAATGGTACAAAAATAGTCATGAGTTCGCGTCCCGGTGCCAAGGCGTCTTTTAAAATCCCCGCCCATATCCTCTAGTCCAGGAAAACCCGTATAGCCTTAACGGCCAGGAAGGGGAGGAACCCCTTCCCCCCCCCCCAAAAAAAACAAAATTTAAACATAAACGCATTTTTTTGTCGTGAAAAATAGATTTTTAACAATTTATTCCATTCCCAATAAATAATCGATTCCCATCAATGTTTTGTCAATAAACTTTGTATTACAACTAAAAATGTAACGTACATTTTAGTTCTTTGTAGTGGAATACTTGTTTCTGGAACACTTCTAAGTAAATAAATTGTATGCAAATTAGAAGGCACAAGAGGTCTAAAATTCATAAAAGAAATTATGCCTAAATAATCTATAATTGAATTTTAATTCTGAAAATTGTCTCAATGATGTTTTGGGATTCTCAATGTTGGGGACGGGATCCCTCAATTATGGGGCTAATCATCAATCGTACCCTGCAACGAAAGTTGCTCTTTTGTTGCCTGCTATTCTACAGGCAAGTGAACAATCCTAGAACGGACACTAATAGAAAAAGTAGCATGAAGGCTTGAAGAATTGCCATAAATATTTCAGAGGGTGGACGGGGGAATATGACTCCCGCAATATTTCAGCCCCGCATATTTGCATATGTTACTGGAGCCCCTCCTAATAGTGGTAAGTTGAATAATTCTAATGTCCATTGTGCTGCGGCTATTGTTGCCCATTGTGCTTACCCTCTCACCACTGCCACGGATTAGGCGCATTAATAACCGGATCCAAATTGCTTGTGCTTCTTTCAAAAGCTGCTCTGCAACAGTACGGCCACCGCCGCGGCATAGCTTCATCAGGTTCTTAAGAAATTCTTCTCGTGTTTGTAATCGGTTGATTTTGCAACTGTTTATATTTATATCTATTTATGAATAAAAACATGTTTTATTAAATAATCAACAGTATATATGATTCGTTAGTAAATATTTGTTCTCCGGCTACCAGGAGCAATGGATTATGATTTAAAAGGTATCAAACGAAGTGGAATTTCTTGTAGAAGTGACGAATTTCCTTTTCGATCATTAAATTTCTACGATTTTAGTAGAAGTCATTAAAAAAAATATTATCAATTGTTTTCAATATTCTATACTAGTTGGCCCGTGCGAATATATCCCAGAAAATATTGTTTAGTGAAGGAATAACAAACCAATATGGAAATAAGTAGATCATAAGTATCTTATGTATTATGTAAGAGAGGAATAAATTGTTTTTCCTGGGTCGATTACAATATTCCATTTAACATAATAGACCAAAATATTTGTCAAATTTGCTTTGCCTATTTCTAAACGCTGACTTGAAAGGTAACATTCAAAATAAAGCCTCGATCATGGGATTTTCAAAATTGTTAAAAAATATAAAATGTACAAACAAAAAAACGCCTTTAAGAAATAATAAAGTTTATTTACCAGCCAGAAAAAACTGGTAGTAGAATAGTAAATGCAATATCGTTAAAGAGAAAGAAATTATTAAGTACACTAAAACAAATGGACTGTACCTTTGTTAATAATTGTCCAATTTTTAGAATACTTTTTTTTTAGGTAATTTAATAATCTTGAATATACTTTACTCCTTTTCATTATGACGCTTATTCCCGGCGTTAAATTTATATGATCTGTACAGACAGTGAGCAAGTTGATTCCAGAGTAGGTGATTGCAGTGTTAATATATAGAACTGTGATTAAATGTGTAAATTTTCCCCACTAGAAATACCACAAAAATTAATAATAAAAAATTTTGAAATTGGAGTTAGTCATTCTGTCAACTGAAAGGCTCATATATAAAATAAATGGAACCAGATCATATTCCATTAGAAAATCTGACGACAAACTCCAAAGACGTTTAAACTACATCAATAAAATATTATACAACACAACGGGCATTATTCAAGCATCAAATAAGAATGATATAACCTTCATTTCCGATACACAATTTGTTGTCTATGTTCTCAGTGTTTCTCATCTCTCAAGGTAAACTTTTGTAAATTTAAGGATTGCAGGAAATTAAAAAAAAACGCATAAAGGGTTTGATGCAATGAACATTCATATCACTTTAAATTTTACACACGGTTGTAATTTTAATGCACTATTAAAATTTATTTCAATAGAATTTACTATTTACTAAAAAAAAAAATAAAAAATAAAAAAAAAATAATAAAAAAAAATAAAAAAATAACCTGTACCACTACAACCCATGAGGGTCATGGGTTCAGTACTATTTAGGGAAAATACTGTTTCAAGGCCAACGGTTGTGTAGGGAGGGGATCGGTCCAGGATCACGCTCAATTGCCAGGTTTTCACTTTTAATTATAACTAAGTACCCCCTTTAGAGGCTGGGTGTGCCCCAGGAGTGTTCCCGTACCCCAGGGTCGCCCCACGGCCAATGAAACAGAATAAATAAATTTTCTGTCATGAGCCGGGATTTGAATCTGGGGTCTTGGGTATTGGAAGCTTAGCCCTACCATTGAGCTACACCGCTCCTATGTCTACTATTAGACTCATTTATTATTACTTATTACTGTTCTATTTTTTTTTTCTATTTTCTTCAGTTGTATGCATAGGGTTAATTGTTTATTGAGATAATTATTCTGATTTAGCCAACAAGTAATATATCAATACTCGTATGGTATGGTAAGCTCACCAGTGATGAACGTAGCTAAGGAAATTTTTGTCTTTTTTGGTTTATACCGCCGTAATTATTATAGTTATAAACTTCTTTCTTGGACATTTAGAATATCTAGGGTCTCCTTTTTCAATTTAATACATTAATATTGAAAAAAAAATCAGTTATACTAATATAATCGCCATTTAAAAAAACAACACATTTAGCATTAGTGATGGACACCCCGAATGGTAATGGACAGGAGGTAGGTAGCAGTAATGGATATACGTCAGAAAAGTATTAAAATCTTTATTTAACTATAAAAATAAGATAAAAGATGTTCAACTTACTCTTAGCAAAACTGTTAGTAGGAAGGTATGAAACATACTCATCTCAAGAACCCTATAGAAAAAATAATGATAGGCATTTTAAAATTTTATTTTGGGAACTTAGTTCATACAGTTGTCAATAGAGAGCATTGTTCTTCAATCTAGAAAAAGCTGGAACCTTTAAATCAATAAGGATGCTTATTATATACATTTAAAGTCCAACCTGTACATCACTTGGCCCTCTCTCCATAACTGGTACGTTCACGCTTATTGGTGAAAAAAAATTAAAGAATAAATTTGCAGTACCAGTAGAGACAGGAAACTAGACTCTGTAAATAAATAAACAAAAACTACTACGTTTCCTTATTTAATTTTTTAGGTTATTTGTAAAAAAATGTAGGTGATGTTTGTATACATGGTTGTGAGGTTTACCCAGCCTTCAGATCGAAGATCCCAGATTCAGCTCACTGGATTCGAGAGCCTATAACCGAAACGCTGTTTTTTGCCCGAGCTCCCACGACGATTACACTATCCTGCATAGGATGCCTGACATCGGAAGATAAGCGGTAATCCGTTTAGAGGCGAGATATCTGTGACCACTGATGACTATCTCCTTGCAGCGGTTGATACTACAATACCAGGTCCCCTTTCTGTTCAACATCCCTTTAATCCCGTTCCTCCTCTTCCTACATTGACTAATGGACAGGTTCGGGTCTTCCTCTCCCATTCACTATTGTCCCTTATGGTCGGCGGAAAGAATCTGAACACAATGGAATGCAGAAATGTGAAAAAAACTTATCAGAGCCCAGCTGGACTTGGAAAGCATTTAAGTGAAAATTAGTGTTAAGTCTTAAATAGTATTGCCCAAATGCGAGACCAAGACGAGTCTTGCTCTTAGTTCTAACTTGATCTTGCGCAAGTCTGACAATAGTCTTGCAGTTACTTATTAGCTTCTTACTATAGAGATATTACTGTATTTTTTTAGATAGGGATAACCTAACTAAGCCCGAATGAAAAATTGGAAAAGTTTAATGCATAAGTATATTGGTTATAACAATTCTTTACAAATAGTAAATAAATTTATCAAGTATTAGTAACTATTTGCCTTAATTTTTATTAACAAAAACGATTTTTTTGACCAATCTTGGTCTTGCAACAGTAAGACGGTCTTGGTCTTGCAAGTTCAAAGTGTAATGTGCAAGATCAAGGCCGATTTCGGGC